TTAATATCTGTAAGATCAAAGAACCTCTAAATTAGAGAACAATGACCATGTGGCATATAAGAATAAGGTTATGCAGATCAATTCCATTCACTGCCTCTTCTCAATTATCTGCATCTTAATCATTTAAGAGAGTCCATTTGAAATCATAGTCACAAAGTGGTGAGCCTCACAGAGACAGATTCCACTTAATCACTCTCATAGTGTTTTTTCTACTGAGTCCATGGTGTCCATTAACAGTGTCTCTTCTGCAACTGACATTTCGCAAATGATTTCCCTGTTGTTTGGGCCAAAAAGAACTGACTGGGCTCAGTGCTGGATTTGTGTAGTGTGCCTTAGACAATGAACCTCTTAGGTTGCATTGCCTTATGTTGGGAAAGGCAGATAAAGATCGACTAAATATTGCAGTTCTTTGAGAAATATATTGTGTTTATAAAAAGGCATGTCTTTTTATACCAATGGTATGTTTCTCCCCTATCATTATTGATTGCATTCATAGCACCCCTATATACAGTAGAACAAAATATTGCCCAGTCCTGTGCCATCCTCACAATATTCTGTTGGAGCCTATTGTGTGTCTAGGTCTCCACCACTTCCAGTAGAGATCTGGAATATGTACCTCTAGAGGCTCTTCTTGTGCCGGTCCTGGAAGTTCTCTGTTTCGGAGATGGCTCTGAAGAGCACACACAGAAGAATCGCTTTCATAGAGGAGTGGGTTTTGCCTTTCAGTGGCTCATGCCCCAAGGAAATGAAGGGTGGTGACTCATTTCACGCCCTCTACTAAAATGGAGAATCAATAGCCCCCACCTTAATCCTGTCACAGAGAAGTCCCTCCCAAGCAGGATTATAACCATAGGCATGAGGCTAGACTTTATTATGCATCTCATCTGAGATTATGGCGAGAAGGGCAGTATTAGTTAACTACATCTCAGTCACTCTTAGAGACACATTGGACAATTAAAGGTTCTGCAAAACCCCACATGAAAAGTGGAAAAATTTAAATCTAACATTCTTTCGTCTATTTTAGCTCCAAACAATATTTCAACAACAAACTCCTATTTTTAATATAACTTTTGGATAATGAGACCATTTTCAAAGTGCTACTTTGTTGATACCAATGCATTTCAGTATAACTTCCTAAGGTAGTGCACTGAAATCTTTTCCTTGCTCTGTTGTACTATGTTGTATGTCTAAGCAATGTCTAACCAGCTGTCAATGTCCGCTCCGCTTCATCAGTCAGTTACTGGCAGACCCTCATATTGGAGGAGCATGGCATCTTAGGTTTGGAAATCAACACGAGTATTCAGTTCAAAAAGAAATTCCAAAACATTTTTCTAGGCTGCTCTATTTGTAAACGTATAAGTCAATATAACTGTGTTAGGGTTCTCTAGAGAAACAAAACCTGAATGCTAATAATTTTTTATCTATTTATACAGATAGATAGATAACATAAGAAATAAACAGTTCATTAATCTATAAAGCAGTACAAATGGCTCAGTGCAACTCACTCCTGTGAGACAGTTGTGAGACACTGGCAGTCCTTCAAGTCTTGAGGGCCCTGGGATAGTCCTCTGTGGAGCAATTCAGGCTATCCGGGCACAGGGAGTAAACAACAAGGCAGCTCACCAACAGTCAGTCAGATGACAGGGTCCGACAGTCCCCGGCTCAAGATATGTGCATTCCAGTAGTGTGGTGAAGCAGGTCTTGAAGGAAGCTCAAGTTACAGCGACACAGTGCACGGGTTAGGTGTCCCACAGGTAGTGTAGATTGCAAATGGACGCACAGAAGAAGCAAGGCAGCCGGACACTGGTCCAATGATCAGAGAGCAAGAGAGAGAAAGGCGAAGCTCACTGAGCCATTATCTCTCCAACTTTCAATTAATCTCACATGTGTTCATTGGCCATGTTGGCACAACAAACCCACCAATCACAATAACCTTCCTGGTAATATTTAGTTTTAAAACTATCCAGACCTGAAATAACAGTGTTGAGTATTCTGTGTTTGAAATGAGGTAGAACTAATTGACTTTCACTTCAAACGCTTTGTTTGATTCCTGGATTGGAACCTCTCTGCAGGAGAAAGATATAACAGTCTGATTGCATAAAGATTACAGGTATTGAATCTCGATGAGGTAGTTCTGTGTTTTACTGCATCTGCATGAGTTGGAATCAACTTGAGAACATCATTTTCATTTAAAAAATTGTGGTGTAAGTTCAGTTTGCTCTGCAAAGACATTCAAAGATTTTTGCAAAACAGACTCAATTTATGATGTCAAAAGTTATTGATGTTGCTTTTGAATTTGTGTATTAATTCTACTGACTGTGTGACTACTTATTTCAGGGTGGGTTGTGCTAGTAATGGTGAAATCTTTAGGGAACATGAAAAGCAATTTCCAATTTACATGCATAAAACCAAGACCCTGAAGCAGAAATGATCTGAACATTATTCCTTTTCTTTTCGTTTTTTATTCCAAAATGACCCTTAGCTAAGTTCAGTAATTACTGTTTGGAAACACATACATTGAGTTATAATATGTGTTAGATTTCCAAGTAACCTGTGTTGTTGTTTTCCTAGAAAATTACTTACATTTTCTTCCTTCCTGGACTGAATGATAATTAATACGATCATAAATATCTGGAGGCTAAGTTTACTTCGCTCAGCCAGAGATTTTAAGTACAGTCTGGAGGTGTGGGTATAACTCGTAGAACAAAGCTAAAATGAAGTTTTGTACAGAAACTGCACACCTTATAGATCCTAAAAACGGGTTAGGTTAAAGGTACAACATTCACATATAATGATTATTTCTTATAAGTACATAAATATTAAAAAACACCGTCCTGGTGGCACGGAAGTTGAGTCTTTGACAGCTAACTAAAAGATCCATTGTTCGAATCCAGTACTGCTCCGTTGGAGAAAAACGGACAGTCTGGTTTCATAAAGACGACTGCCTTGATAACCCCCTGGGTGGCCCCTCCTTGACTTGCAGGGCAGCCGTGCGTCAGCATCTACTCAGTGTGAACAGATTTGGTTTAGTTTGGGTAAATAGTATGAAGATGTTTCTGGAGTACTCACTTAGCAGCTTGAATATTTTGTTCAACGCCACTCAGAAAATATCAATAGGAAACAATCAATTAATTATGAAGTGTCAAAGAAAAGATTAATTCACATACAAAGGCGCAATTTAATTACAATTAGGATTAAAATTTAACAGAATAACTCAATTCCAATAACTGCAGGCAGGGCTGTCTCGCAATAGCCTTGGAAGTTCCTCTGCTGTCGATCTTTGAACAGTATTCCCTGTGCGAATACATTTCAGATCTTTCCATTGGCAGCAAAGAGCGCTGTAAGAAACTTCAATCCTACATCCCTTATTTCTCCTCATCACCTGACCTCATGGTTCAGAAAACCCAAGACGAATGACTGAGAGCCTTGAACCTCATGTGTGTAGAGTTCACCTTTGTCCATCCCATTGTCCTACACACAATAAAAATATCAGGGACTGAGGTAATTAGTTTAGTGTGCCAACGTGGCTGATAAACACATGTGGGGTTAATTGAAGGCCGGAGGGATAAATGGCTCGGGGAGCCTCGCCTTTCTAGTTCTCAGGTCCCTTGCTTTCTGATGGTCAGACCAGGGTGCAGCTGCCTGAGCCAGTTCCCTGCACATCCCCAAGGAGAAGCCGCATGGACCTACCCCAATGCAGCCCTGGATCCTGGAGCACCCGTGTGGAGAACCCTGCCAGCGCTGAGATGTTTACACAATCACTGACTCAGCTTTCTCCTATAATCAGCGTCATTGCGTGTGTTTTGTGAGATGGAGGAGGATTTTGTGGATTGGTGTCAGACATATGGGCTAATGTTGGACTTGTGGGCTTGGGCAGCATTGGGTTGGGATTTTTTTCTTGATGCGCATGACCCTTTATATAAAACTCTCTCTTATACATGAGTTTCTGTGGATTTGTTTCTCTAACGTACCCAGACAAACACAGGGACCTTGCCTTGAGAAATCAGTAAAGGAGCATGCATATGAACTACACAGGCCAGACATTTGCCTTATTTTTCTTGATTGATATTTTTTGTAATGTCATCTTAGAGATTATTCAAGGATTTTTATGAAATTGTAATCATAAGATACCAATTAGCAGGTGCTTTAAGTGAAGAATTCGTTGTCAGTTCTATTGAAATGTTCTTACAAAAGAAAAGAAACCAACACAAGTGTGTGTAATACTTTTTAAAGCTTCCCTTTCCTCCCAGAGGATGGGGTTCTGGGGTGGTTTGTTTACTATTGAGTTTTGTCGCTTTTCATTGATTTGGTTTGGCACGGGACATTTTGGTAGGGCAGCATGAGAAAAGATGAATGATATGAGTTCAAGGTACACATCTGATTTTAAACATTTTCAATCTTTGAAATGAAGACATTAGTACTCTTTTCCTCAAAGGAACTTGACTCTGTGTGTTATTTCTGTTTGTCCTACTGGCAGTGGGCACAGGGGGAGGTTCTATCAGCCATTTACTCTGTTCTTGTGCCTCGCCACTTTGCTTTTTCTGTACTATGCGACTGTTCCTTCCAAGATGTTATTTGTTGTACACACACAGTCAACCAAACCTTAGAAGTTATTTCTGCTTATTAGAAGGATGTAAATGTTGTGAGAATCTTAAGGCAGTAGTACCACAAGCCAGTAACCAGTTCATAGTTGTAATGAGGATTCAGCTCGTGGCACTGTGATTAATAGATTTGATTGGATCAGATATGGCATTGATTAATGAAGGTGATTAATATTTAAATGGTTATAACCAATCAAATAAAGACTTTAAATTATGTGTCAGGTTATCAATGCAAAAATACAGATACGTAGCCATCTTCATATGCACTTTAAAATTTACTTAATTTATATTTGTTTGTTGTTGAGTACCTTTCTTCAAGCTCACAGAACACTAAATTTGTTGAATACTTAATATGTTTTCAAGAGTAATTATAATATGCACATCTTTCTTTTTTTGCAGGAACTTGAATTCCAGGATCTGACATCTGTTTTGCATTGCATACACTCCTTTATTGCAGCCAAAGTGGCCACGGTGGATCCCGTGTTCATAGACAGTCAGAGTATTGCAAGAAAATATATGTATAGCAACTAAAAAGAAGCTTCTGTTGAGTGCTGAAAAATTAAATTATTTTCTTAAGAAATGAATCTTTCCTGCACAATATTGCAACTTTGTGTGATTTTATAATGAGCCTATAGTTGTGATACCAATAAAATATGTCACTAGTTTCCAAATATGGGTCATACTTGTTAAATTTGACAAGTTAGCAAAGATTCTGTTAAAATTTAAAAAAAACAAACACCTATGGTTAATAGAAAATAGTGTTCCACAGTGAAATAGTCCACCTCACATCTGCCATTACGTCACTAGATAAAGCGATATCAGCATACAGACTCCACTCCCTACAGTGGTTAAATCAAGATTAATTTTTATAAAATATATCATAGAAAATACTGAGAGCACACAGCTTTTTTTTCCTTCAGAAAGAAAATAATGGCCTTCGGATTTGACTTGCCATTGGGCCCCTTTTTCTCAGCAGGGCGTGGGAGGTGGGGAGAGAGGAGAAAGAATCCCGGGTGAATGAGTGGTAGAAATGTAGAGCGAAAGGAAATTAATTTTAACTATTTTTCTAATTCATAAAATCTAGCACATATTTTGGTTCCCTGTTGCTCCCATAGTTTATGACTTCTAAATAAGAATGATCTTAATTTTGTTGTAATTACAAAAGGCAGGCCTTTCCTTTTCCTCTATGAATGCAGCCAGCAGTGAGGGGAAGTCCTGATCATGTACTCATTTCTCAGGGCAGCAAGCGCAGGAAAACCCTAAAGGCATCAGACTGTACGGAACGCAGCTAACACTCTAAGAAAATAAATAGAGACTTCACGCAGTTTCTATCAGAGCAAATGTACAAATCATGAAGTTCTGCTACTCTAGGCTGTGATCAAGATGTCAGTAACAGTAGTTATCTTGACCCACTTTGCCCCTGATTTAACAGGAGGAAATTATGTTTTGTTGTTATTGTTGTGTTAATACATCAAACATTTATTATCAATAATTTCAACTATTTAAAATAACTCTTTAGTTTTAGAAGATATATGCATATCTGTAATATATGAAAGTCTCACTAACATTTCAGTGACTTTGATGGAAGACTATCATGGGCAGAATATTTAACAGAATTTTAAAATAATATTCTGCAAAAATAATGATTCTCAAGGAGCACCGGACACTGTGTAGTCTCTTGTTTGAAATAAAAAATGTTAATTAATAACAATAGGAAAATTGAATTTTATAAAACATCTATGAACTGAAACAGATAGTTAGACATGTCCCTTTGCCCCGTCTTTCCTCTCATGTAGATAGTTTGAACTCCAACTTGAAGGGATTCTCATTTTCTTCCTGTCTGCCCAAATGACTACACTCTCTCAAATGTAGGTGTTTTCCAGCACTAATCAGTGAAGACCTGGTGAAGACTTTCTCCCCTTGTTTTTATACACAAATTTAAAACTCTGGTTTTAAAAATATACTATTAGTGGAACAGTAATTTAAAAAATAATATTTTCCAAGGAAAATTTCATATTAAAATCAATTTTTATATTTGTACTGATATATAGATTTTTGAAAGATGCACAACTTTAAACTAAAAAAACAGACAAACATCAAAAGTCTTATAAAAATGAAACATGTAAGCAAAATGCCAACTAATCTTATTTATATGACTCTAACACCTATCAGAGTCACTAAGGACAATATTATTAAAAATACCATGAACAGTATAAATTAACACTGTGTTTTCCACAAACGTTCAAGCCTTGCTCCACTATTCTCAATGATGAGGACTCTGGTGACTTAATTATGGTACTATTAAGAAAAATCAAACTAGTTGAGAATTACTGTTTGTTTCATTTTGCTACCCCCCACCCCACTGGATAGAGTTCATTATCAGCTCACTTTTGTATTAGTTAGAAATGAGTAAGGAACATTTGGTATCACTATAGTTGAAATGTACTGAAAACTTTAGGTACTAGATACTGCCTTAAGGGTTTTACACACCCAATGTCTATCAACTTTCATAGCAGCCTACCAGTGGTGGCATTTCAATTCTCATTTTGTAGATGACGGACATTTACTAAATGAGCAAAGATTCTATTTGTAAGCACTGAAACTTCATCTTAAACAAAGGCAACCTGACTCCTGAATCTTAGACCTATTACTTGTTTAGGAGTGTTTTGTGTGCTTAAATCGATTCAATTCATAGCAATCATATGAGAAGGAGTAGAGTTCCCCCTTTGTGTAGTTGTTACATGGAGGGTTGTGATCCACATGATCAGCAGTTCAAAACTAGCAGCTGCTCCGCAGAAGAAAGACTGGGCTTTCTACTCCCTTAAGGGACCTTAGTATGAGTCAGCATTGACTCAGTGGCAGTGAGTTTGTTTTGGGGGGAGAGTCCTCCCATAGGGTTCCAAGGCTGTAATATTTTAAGTTGTAGCTCTGGATAATAACAGTAGTAGATAATACTTGGCTGCTGTTTCCATAGAGATTATAGGCTTGGAAACCTTATGGGCACCTCTCACTGCCATCTAATCCCTTCTGACTCAGCAACTACCCGTGTGGGTTTCAAAGACGAAATCTTTACAGGAGTAGAAAGCCTCATCTTCTCCATCAAAACAGTTGGTGGCTCCACATTGCTGGCCTTTCTGTTATCAGGCCAACTCCTAACCCACTGCCCACTGGGCTCCCGATGGGCATGCTCACTGACTTGGGTGGGTCCTATTAGTCAGAATGAAATCAACAGCAGTTGAGCACTCATTCTTGTAGTTCAATTCCAGGCCTTTTCTCCCTGGAGCCCCAGGGTGGATGCAAACCATTAGCCTTTCAGTTAGCAGCCAAGCACATAAGCATTGCTCCACGGGGTTCTGTAATTAGGACTGTACATATTACAAGTGCTAGTCCTTGAGAGAATTCTTTTCGAACTCACAATTCTATCAGGCAGGTCTGTGAGTCAGGCCTGTACTGACAGGCACATTCGATGTTTGACCATTCATCAGAGAACATATGTAATCATTATTTTATTAGCCTGCACCCATTTTTCCTTTGTTTCATTTTTATGAGTTTTATATAAAATAGAAATGGAAAATGTTCTCATTGTTTAAGTATTAGAAAAGTGTCAGGTGTCATTTCCTATATTATCTTCATCTAAGTTATTAAACCGCATTTCATTTACAGTATTTATATAGACAACTGGCAAACCATTAATTTGACTAGGCAATTCTCTTTAGAAACATTGGTCAATGAATATTCACTAAAGTGATTATTCCCAAGTTTTAGGAGAACTTGGAAATTCCAATGTTGTAAAGAAATAAAATTGCTAAATATTTATCATTTTTTTCCTAGAAGATATGCACAGATATTCAGCGGTTTTGTTACCTACTTTCGTTTCCTGCAAGCATGCAGAGCTCCCACAAAGCACACTGGGCTTTAATAGCTTGGAACCAGCAGAAATTTCTAAATTCTGTCAAATCAAGGAAAAGCAAATAATTATAGAACATATCAGATTAGACACAATTAAAAGTTGTGCTATTGAGACAAGAAGTACAGATTTTAAGGAATTGAACACAGAGAGAGAGGATGATTATTTTAGCTTGAGAATTTAACAGAGGATATTTAAGCATCGTAAGAGCCAATTTCAGTTGGAGAATGAGATCTATAGCAAGTTGTATAGAACATTAGTGATAACTTCAGGTAATTTGCAAAGGCTTATTTTCCCCCCTCCTTTTATGGTCTGAGGTTTTGTTATCTCAAAGTACATTTCAGTTATCAAAGAGATCTAGATCTAGCTACATTTAGTTTTAGAAGTGTGAGGAGATAAAAACAAAAACATTAAAATTCAGATTATAAACACGCCTCAGAATTTCTTGCTAAGAGTCATTAGTTGAACTCTGTGTTTGGCACATGATAGCAACCAGCCTTTTTTTTAAAAGTCATCTTATTGGGGGCTCATGCAACTCATCACAATCCATACATCCATCAGTTGTGTCAACCAGCCTTTTAATCATTATCAATTCACTGACATTGCTGATGACCGAATGGTTGTGTTCTCAGCTTACTTTTACGTAATTGATGACTATTATCTTTCGCATATCACAGCAGTGTTCATGGAGACCCAGGGAGTCAGCCAAAGGCTAAATTTATCCTTTTCGCCCTATGGATGATATAAAGGAAAAACCGTGAAACTGCTTTGGTTTACAGTCTCGAATTAGACAGTCTCTAATGAATATGCATCATTAAATTCTTTAATTTGTTAATCCTCAGTGACATGACCCATTTGATTTTCCTATATCCAGCTATATTTTAAAAATGGCAGAGATTCTTTCAAAACATAGATAATATTGAAAATATCTATATTTATTTTTTAGAATTTTGGACAGGAGAGTGAACAAGTAAAGGTTACATAATCCATCTTTCCCATTATTTAGAGCCTATAGAACGCTAATATTAGAGACAACATAGATGAACAGTCTGTTGGTTTAGGAGTTAGGAGAACCTATTACAATTATTCTTCAGCAAAAAGCAAGATATTTGTTCCCACTCGTTCACTGCTTCATCATGTGCATTACATAAGTAAACTGTAGAAGGTAAACCAAATGATTGTGCTGATATTGAATTTATTAATTCTGCACACATTAGCAAAAGTAGCAGTGATCATTGACTTGATTTCAATAGAGATACATTTTTTATTTGTGAAAAGTAACATAAAAAATCTTATAGATATAAAAAAATGGCAACCCAACAAAGCATGTGGCAGCATATCTTATATCCTGGTTAAGTGCCCATTGGATAATGTTGGATAATTTGTCGCTGGTGAATAAAAATACAGTGCACACTAACCCCGACAGAGGAAAATGACAGGTTGAAATACAGAATCAAACAATGTAAAGCTCTTAACAGATTAAAACATTGGCTCCAAACAATATGCTGTATTAGTAGAAAATGTATTTTATTTACACTTTAGAAGATATACTACACTTAAGTTTTTTATAACTCCACGATGCATTTAAAGAGACAATACACACTCAACTGTAGTGATTGGAAGAATAAATTGGAGGTTCAATGAAAGCTATTTCATTACATTATTCAAATACTTATGGAA